TTGTTTAGGAAAAGAGTCAGAAGAATTAGAAACTATATTTTATTTACAGCATCCAATAACATTTTTTGCATACCGACATCGTTAAAAGGTTTGACTGGAAATATTTCTGACTGTGCTTACAATTAAATCATTCAAACTGGGACTTTTACATGATGGGAGTGCTAACAAAAGGCAAATGGCAGTTGCAAAATCGAAAGAGCAAAGGGGCAGACAAAACATCACAGTGCATGTAATACAGACAGGCCTTTTTATGCAATGATCCAGGTTTGAGATGCGTTTGCACTCATTCTGAAAGTTTAGATTTATTTTTTCAAAAAATAAATAAATGCTCTAACCTTGTTTCTATTTACGCACTTTCATTTTAATAGCTGCCTTAAATTCTATTACATCGGGGGTCCCCAAACTACGGCCCGCGGGCCGGATCCGGCCCGCCACGTCATTTGGTCCGGCCCCCTGAACAATGCCGGATCCGGCCCGCCTGCTCATACCAGAGAGCATTCAGTGTTTTTTTTTCGTATATTGTATTTTCCGGTTTATATGTGGATTTTTCTTCAACCACCAGGGGGCTTTTGAGCAAATGTGAAACTTACTTTCCCTCAATGGAATATATACTCGTCAGTCACAGTCACCGTTTCACTCACGGTTTTTTCCATTTGCATTCTGGGTAAAAATCTATCTAAAAGCGCGAATGTGTCGTCGCCCGTCGCCCCCTCCACCCCCCCACCCCCGCTCGACAAGAATTTTCTAAGGTTTCTTTCTGCAAAAACTAAGACCGGCCCCCGACCAGAGAAAGGAACAGCTATGTGGCCCTCGCAGGAAAAAGTTTGGGGACCCCTGTATTACATGGTGGGAAGCCAAAAACATCAAGTAAAATCTAAATGTAAAGACGAACCATAAAGTATGGTTTTCAGTTACGCTAAATATCAGAAGCAGAAAATGTAAAAAATAAATAAATAAATACAATTAGATTTACAAACCGGTATTTTTAGCATGAAGTAGGTAATTCTGGTTCATAAATAATATGATTTTAACGACTAAAGTGTTATAATACTGCTTTGCTTCAGTTTAATCTTAACATTTACAACCGTACCTGAAGGCACCACTTTCTCCAGCACGGCTGTCATGGCGCTGACGAGGCCGAGCACTTCTGCGGCGTCAAACTTTAATTTAGGCTCGATTTGGAATATCAGCTCTTATATTTGCTCTCTAAAATCTTCATTCCCCGACGAGTGCGCACTTTGGTGAGTTACCCAACAACATGACTGCCCCGTTTTGTTATTCGGCGGACTGTCTGATTTTAGCTTGAACGTTGAGTCTTACCTAAAGGTCCGCGTAATTTAGCTAAAATACTTTTCTGCTGCCTGTTGGTGTTGAACTGGTGAAGTGCGGGATTTTACTTGGTTGATAAACAGCTTTACATGTATGCGTATTAATAATAACACAACTCTGATAAAATAAGAATCAACAGATTAAAGTAGAGTGCCACACGTTTAGCTTTCGTGTAACTTATTTTGTTTGTTAGCTTTTCTTGACACATCTGCAGAGAGTTCCTAACTCGGAGCTGTACACGGTGCAGTTTAATCAGATCACATTTAAATATTGTCCCAGACTGCACATGGCTTATTGCTCTGTCCATTGCTCACACCAATGCATGCTGAATATTAGACTTATTTGGTTCCTTCTGATTCCTCCTCTTATTATTGGTGCAAACTGATATTTTTCAGTATTCTTTCAGTGCCGGTGGTTGGTAAAAATAATCTTAACCGAAAAATTCACAAACGGAAATCAAACATTGTCACAACTCACATCTTCCAAGTAAGAGTTATTGTGGAAGGTGATTCTGTGGGCAGTAAGAATCTCCAGTAGCAGTCAGTCTTGCAACAAATCTGCAGAGGCCTCTGACTACAGACACTGTTTCTCCATGAAAGTTTCATGACTGACATATCATGCTAACAGCTCAATACCCGGGCAGTGGAGATGATATTCCTCGGAAACATGTTTTAGATAACACCGTCAGCTAATCCATCTCATTTGCTTTTGCCACTCCTAATTCGGGTTATTATTGTGACTTGATATATTGTGCAACTCTATTTAAGTGGATCCCACTGAAAGATTTGTAGCGTTTCTGCAGCTATATAATGAAGCATCGGGCAATGCGATTTGATATGTCAATAGAAATGTTGATTTTTCTGGTTATAAGTAGCATACTTTTAATGCATCCTTGTAGCTTTTGTCTTTTTGTAACCATTAAGAAGATTCCATAAAACTCTTCAAAGCAATTGAAAAGTCCCAGAATTAAATAACTAGAAAAAACATATTATCAAGGGATCCATTACATGACTGCGTAACATAAATTGGTTCAAATAAAACCACTCCATTTAGATGGGTAATCATGACTGCGACAAAATATCAAGAACACATCTGGCCTGCTGTCATCTTATCTTACTGTTACATCTGTTAGGTTTGTGTTGGCCTTCCACAGATGAGAGATGGGAATGAGTTGAGTGTGTTGGATTGCCTTTTTAAGGGCAGGAGAGGCTCAGCTGAGGAGGGCTGTATGTTCATGTGTCTCCACTTGGATGGTTACGTTGGGCTCAGCAGCTGTCTTCACTCTCACAATCCTGAATCAAGAAGCAGTGATGCAGAATGAGTTGATTGCTTTGGAGCTCCTTTTTTCCAGACAGGAGGGAGGTTGGGGGTAGAGTTGAAGTAGAATCTGAACACTTCCTAAGGAAGATGTTTGCACCATTTTCTTTTTAGGTCAGGAGTGTCCAAGTCCAAAATAAAAGAATTGGTGAAAACAATGTACTCTTTTAGTTCGAGTTCTAAATAGTAGTTATGAAAATTTCATGTTAATATTAGGGCTGGACCTGAATAGGAAACATGTTATAGTGACATCATTAATGAATATTCTGATGATTATACCAATTATCCTACATTGTCCTGATTCTTCTTCTTTTTTTTTTTTCTTTTTTTTTTTTACAATTGGTTCGTTGCAATTTCACAATTTTCTGTCAGCTTCAGCATCTCAGCCTCTAAAAATCGGCATATGGTGAGCGGCTTGTCCATCCTTCTGGGCAATTAAATTAGCTTGCAGAAATGTATCCAGCCAAATATTGCATCCATGTAATTTTATACAGTTGTGATATTGAACTGTATAAATGCCACCCAGCTAAGCAATGGGTGGCATTGCTTAGCTGGCAATGCCACCCACATTGCCAGCTAAGCAATGTGGGTGGCATCTACTAACTCACTTGCTCTTTGGTTTCCTAACAATAACCTGTTGTGTAACAGGTGCATCAATAGTTTCAGGTTTTGCTATTGTGCCTCTTCACTGCTTAAAAAATAAATAAAAATAAAATAACAATTTTGTGGAGTGAAGGGAGAAAATAAGTACATCACTTCAAGAGGAAACTGTGGATAAAAGAAGAATGGTCACATCACTTCTTTGTCAGTATTTCACATAATTAAAACAAAACTAACAAAATAGTTACCTACATTGGGGGAAAAAATTGTCTCTTCCAAATATTTCTGGACCAGACGGTAAAATATATTTGGTTGTGGTTGCAAAGTTATGCCAGCAGGGGGAAGACATGGTGCATAAACCTTCACATACACTGAGTCTGTTTTTGATTTACTGTGTACACATCCACACAGCAGCTTCCATCTAAACACTCCACACACCCTCCCACCTCTCAGATGAATCAGACTCCTGAAGGACACAAAGTTCTAGGAAGCATTGTGCTTCTTATTTAAATTTTCTAGAAAGGGTGATGTGGCAGGGATTGATGGGATTGTTTTGTGTCCAAGTTTCAGAGCTGATTTAGATGTGTTCTGTACTTAATGGTGTACAACATCAGACCCTGACAGAAGTAAAATAGTAATTTTACCACATTCAGATTGTAATTGGTGATGCTTTTAAGTTGTTCCTGGAGAAATTGTCAGTCAAGTTTATTTGTATGGCACATGTCAGCTACAAGGCAATTCAAAGTTCTTTACATTATAAAAATATAATTTACCAACTAATTGTGAAACAGCAAAAAATTACATTTTGTTAGATCATCAACCAAATATATATTGATCAATGTTCCAGTTATTATGAATCAAAGATAACTTTATAAACCGTTAACCTTGATTTAAAGGAATTCAGTGTTTTGGATGTTTTGCAGTTTTCTGGATGTTTGTTCCAGATCACTGGAGCATAAAAACTGACATGTTTACATGTTTGGTTCTGGTTCTGGGGATTCAAAATGGACCAGAACCAGAAAACCTGAGTGGTCTGGAAGGTTGATACAACAGCAGCAGATCTTTAATGTATTTTGGTGCTAAGCCATTCAGTGATTTATAAACTAGAATAAATGTTTTAAAGTCTATTCTCTGAGCTACAGGGAGCCAGTGTAAGGTCTTTGAAACTGGGGTGATGTTCTTTATCTTCCTAGTTTTTGGTAGAAGCCTTCATAACATTGTCCTCTGAGTAGATATTACCTTTTATCCTTTTGAAGAATATTAATATTTGGGTTTTTCCATTTATTTTGACCTCTTCTCTGGGTTATGGGGCTCTGTTTGCCCTCAGGAGAGAAGAATGATCCCTTGCACAGATCTTTGGACTGGTGCATTGTTGAACCCTGGTGTGGAATGTGTACTGTCTTTCAGCCAGAGGACAGTGGGCTTTACAACAACCTTCATACAAATCTCTGTAAGCAGACACTTGTGTATTTTAAGAAGTTATCTTCTCCTAAGATGACTCTCAGAGAAGGTTGTCATCAGTGGTTTTGTTGTCTAAGTGATTTGAAATGTGAATGTCAAAATAAAATGTGTTTCTCATAAGGCTGATAGATTGAATGTCATGGTTGTCAAATGAATTCTGGAGTGATACTGTTATTCCTAGAAGAACCTGGTTGTAGGTTTTGTTTTCATATAAAACCGAAGAAGGTGATCGTGTTGCCTTACTTGTAAGTTCAGAGCAGATGTATGTTTTGCCAAGAGATTGGTGGAAATTCAAACAGGAAGCAACCCTACAGGTGGTGAGGAGGCCAAGGCTCTGCTGGCAATTCCCATGAAGACTCCTTACTCACTCTGAGTGACCACAGAGACATACCGGAGGTTGTGGTGGGGGGTGTCTGACTGTTAGCGTCAGTTCCCTTGCCTGTTAGGTGTTCTCCCTAAAATCCAACCCCCACTCCCGTCTGGAAATGGATACTGTGGGCGTATTTATAGCTGCGGACCACAAGCGAGCTCTTTCTTAAACACGTCGAAGGAGCTGGTTGCATTCGTCAGAGTCGGACTGAGCTTCACTGTTGTGTTCTCTTGACTGTTTTACTTTTTCACTTGTGTAATCAGCCTGGAGGGGCTTATCAGGTAGGAGAACAAACTGAAAAAGCTTTTAACTATTGCTACTGCCTCTATGGCTTTCATACTTTATCTTTTTTTTGCCATTACATCAAGACAATTTAAAATTCTTTTCCAAAGTCATTTTTTTCTTTGTAAAAATCTTTTTTTTTCTCTTTGTAAAAATTCATACATTTCTTAATGAATAATTTTAAATGTAATATCATTTGATGAGAAATGTTTGACACAATCTATGAAGAAATACTACAATGACTGCAATAATGATCCTTCCGTTAATGTTAAAAGTGACTTTCATCACTTTTAATTTTTGGCTTTTATAATAATGAAGGGGTGCAGTGGTGGGCAAGGTTTCGCTAACCCTAAAATATTAATCATGAACATTACTTCTGCTAACTCTAAACACCAAAAGTAAATTGCTATTGCTAATGCTAAAGCACTAACTGGGATTTAAATATCTGTCCTTGAAAGATAAGATTGTATTTTAAAATGTAGCTTAAAAAAACATGCAGGTTGGAAAGTGCAAATAAACTTATTCTGTTTCACAGTAGAGTAGCTGAGTACTCTGATGGTAAGGTGTTAATTGTGTCTAGGATGTGAGGGGCCTATAGAAATGTTAGCTGCCGCTTTCCTGACCTCTAGACCTGTAATCATTCCTCACTAAAAATAAAACATCAAGCAAAATGCTTCATTAAAAGCACATTTAATACTTTTACTAGTGACAAGTGTATGTAAACCAAGTCTGTAAAAATAAAAGCCTTTCATCCACCACTCATCTTTGATTTGATCTGCAGTTTAAAACTTTTTGTTGTAATTTGAAAGCAACTGTTAAAATCCTTTTTGGTCTTGTAATTTTGTTTGGAATCTTGTTTTTATGGTTTAATTGTTAGATAAGGAAACATTCTGGAACTTCACTAATAATGAGGTAGGAATTTGTAGCAGGATTACTGATAAGCTCAGCTGATGCTTAACAAATATTTTTGATGTCTATTCCAGATGAAATCCTCATTCTGAACTCGACCACCAGTGAGACACAGTGAGAGGAAAGATGGAGAAACCAGTTCTCCAGACGCAGCCGTCCACCTTACCTTTTTTTGACTCTTCGCACGCCTTCAACCTCCTGAGAGGAATCCATGAGCTACGAGCTGAGCGGAAGTTTTTCGACGTGACTTTATGTGCCGAGGGGCGGGAGTTCCACTGCCACCGCACGGTGTTGGCTGCTGCCAGCACCTACTTCCGTGCCATGTTCACCGGAACGTTGAGGGAGAGCGTAATGGACAGAGTGGTTCTACACGAGGTGTCAGCCGAGCTTCTAGGCTTACTGGTGGACTTCTGCTACACGGGTCGGGTCACGGTCACTCAGGACAACGTGGACCTCCTGCTGAAGACGGCTGATTTGTTCCAGTTCCCCTCGGTCAAAGAGGCCTGCTGTGCGTTTCTGGAGCAGCGTCTGGATGTCTCCAACTGCTTAGAGATACAAGACTTTGCAGAGGCTTACGCTTGCAGGGAGTTGGCGACTAGTGCGCGCCGCTTCGTCCTCAAAAACATAATGGAGCTGGCGAAAGGGACAGACTTTGAGCGGTTGCCATGGAAGCGCCTACTAGAGTTCGTGTCCGACGACGAGCTTTGCGTGGATAAGGAGGAGACGGTCTACCAAATCGCAGTGCGGTGGGTAAAGGCTGATCTGCAGCGACGGCTGCACTACTGGCCTGAACTCCTCCAGCAGGTCCGCCTCCCGTTCGTCAGGCGGTTCTTCCTCCTGGCCCATGTGGAGAGTGACCCGCTTGTCTACCTGTCACCCACCTGCCTCCGCATGGTGAACGAAGCCCGCAGCTTCCAGTCCTGTGAATATGATCGTCACGACAGGCCGTGCCACCGCATGCGGCCTCGGCCCTCTACGGGATTGGCGGAAATCCTGGTGGTGGTCGGAGGCTGCGACCAGGACTGCGACGAACTGGTCACTGTGGACTGTTACAACCCTCAGACCGGACAGTGGCGCTACCTGGCCGAATTCCCCGACCACCTTGGAGGAGGTTACAGCATAGCAGCCCTTGGAAATGATATGTATGTCACAGGTAAGAAACCTAGCTCTGGTTGTGTTATGCTAAAGCCTAATTTTTTAAATCCTTGGGTAAATTAAGCAGATATTTCAGTTCTCAGTTGAATCCAATATCCCACATTTGATATTTGATAGATTCATGTATTTTGGTGTGGATTCACACCAGCCATGGTTACTGTGCTTCAGTCAAACTCAAGTTTGTTTCCAGAGATTGTTTGACGCAAAAACACAAATTCTGGTTTGCCTTAAAACCTAGGTCTCAGTTTGGTTGGAATGAACTTCAGTGTGGTTGGAATACAAATGTAAATGCAGAGCGGACCAGAGACTGCTCCAAAAACAGGAAGCGGAATAGTGCAGGGCATTCTGGGCAAAAACAACCAAAAGCATTAATGGGAGAAATAGATCGTGATCTTTTACCAAAGACAAAAGAGAATCCTACAACCACTAAAATCTGACTCCTCTCCATTTTTGTTTATATTTGGTGAAGAAGGAAGTTGCGTTCATTGTCTTCCTTAGAGGTTTTTGTGTCTTTTCTTTTAGTGATTTCTGGTGCAGTGCCACCACAAGAGAAGAGGGGGAACAAGTTTTTCAAAAGTTTTGCTTCTTTGTGTGAAAGCAAATTGCTCCAACTGAAATTGCAATTTTGGTCCCCAACTGAACCAGACTATCAGGTGGTTTCTATTTCTGCTCCTTCATTTTTTCAAAAGGCCTCTAGAGAAAGAATATAAACAATCTACATCCTCTTTTAATATTCTCTGTGCCTGAGGAGGGCAAATGAGGCAATGCAGATGCTACCAGGACAGTTGTGCTATCCTTGTCATCGTTGTTATTAGCACTGGAATGGTGTTCTCTATGTCTCATGTCTGATACGACAGAGAAGTTAACTGTGGATGTTCGAGATGTGGTGTCAGATATTCTACTCTGATCTCCTGGCTCCTGAAGAGGACTTATGATGGTGCACTGATTTAGCAGCATTAGCTAATGACACCATTTATAGAAATAACAGCAACACATGATTGCACAACATTGACATGCCCAGTTGTGTTACATTTGGTTCTCTCTTATTGATGTACAGTGGTGCTCAAAATTTAACACTCTTCTGTTTTTGTGAGCTAAAACAATTACAAATTATTTCCCAGATTTAATTTAATGTGGATTTTGTAGAATCAGAGTGAAAAGCAAACCAATTTTTTAAATAAAAATTTATTTTCTTCAGGCTCTTTTTATTCAGTTTCAGATCTTCTTGGGTATACACCTACCATCTGCTGCAGGGAACCAGAAATAATAAGATTTAGCTGACTGAATATGATTATTCTGATTGCAGTTATTTGCCATTACCAAGTACTGATATTACTATTTAAAGCCATTACATTTCCAAATTATTTGACTGATTTTCAGTCACATTCTACTTTTCCAACACATTTTTTGTCTGTTTTATAGACACAGATTTACACTTACTGAATCTATTCAACCTCGCCACATCAGTCACTTAAATACAGCACATAAATGTAACTAACGCCTCTGTCATCTGAACTGGTTAAAATGGCTTTTTCAGAATAAAACTGAGATTTTTGAAGGTGGCAATAATAAATAGCTGCTACTGAACTGGTTGAAAATGTTTTTAATGTTGAGAACAGTATGGAAAAAAGATTAAAGATACATCTATGGAAGGACTTAATGTATAGTACACAACCTGCAGTTACTGTGGCATATTAAGGAAAGGTGGATTTTCTTCTGAATGTGAAGAAAATCCACCTTATTATTCTGGCATTAAGGAGGTAAGAATAATTTTAGTAAATCCTAACGGAAAAGAAGACGCTGTGAAAAAAAGTCTTTTAGTAGCAAAAATGATTTGAACTGTACAGAGGCGGACCAGACAAGTGATTTACAAACTAACTAATTTAAAATCTGCATCTGTATATTATTATGTCTTCACTTAGGCCATCTATAATTAAAAGCACATTTTGAAAGAAAGTTGGGAGAATTTATTGCCTTTGTAGAGAAACACAATAAAGTCCATCTGTAGAACAGTTTTAGTAGCAGCTGGCTATTGTGGCTTTGCTGCATTAAGTTAGTGGAGTCTATGTTTAGACTTGTGAAATGTGGGAGAGTGGGATGTTGAACAGATGTCTGCCGTCTCATTTGTTCATGGAGAGATTATGAATTTACATTTGGTTCGTTTTAGTTTGTTCTTTGCAATGTCTCTAAGTTTATGGTATTACGCTTGTTGAAGACCACATACATGTAGACAGTTGTCTGCAAACTGAAGGTTCTTAATGTCTGGATGTTATTTATTCTCTGAGTTCCCAACACTATTAATATAATTTTTATTGCACTATTTATTTAAATAAATCATTATTAAGCTCATATTCTTGTAGAGTTTATTTGCATAGCACAATTTAGTTTAAACGTAATTTACACTAAGCCTGCATTAAGCAATTAGTTGCATGATCAATTAAAATAAGGTCAATAATTTCCATTCTGATGATTAATATATTTGAAGAGCAATTTTGTTTTCATTCAGATACATCATAATCCATTATATTTATGGTTTATTGTTTTTGGTAATTGTGTTTTACTTTGGATATTTGGTCTGTTAAATATGTCGATCGATGTTCCGTTTACTTACAAGTTGCTTTTTAGCCTTGATTTAAAGGAAGTCGGTGTTTCAGCATTTTTGCAGTTTTCTGGAAGTTTGTCCCAGATTTGTGGTGCATGGAAGCTGAAAGCTGCTTCTCCGTGTTTCTCCAGGAGGTTCTGACGGCTCCCGCCTGTACGACGGCGTGTGGCGCTACAAGTCCAGTGTGAACGAGTGGACGGAGGTGTCGCCCATGCTGAAGGCCCGCGAGTACCACAGCTCGTGCGTGCTGAAAGGCCAGCTGTACGTGGTTGCGTCGGACAGCACCGAGCGCTACGACCAGGCTCTGGACTGCTGGGAGGCCTTGCCAGGCATGCTGCACCCCATGGACAACTGCTCCACGACAGCGTGCAACGGCCGCCTGTACGCTATAGGCTCTCTGACCGGCGAGGACACCATGGCCGTCCAGAGCTACGACGCCGAAACCAACCGCTGGACCATGGTCAACTGTGGACAGCTGCCTCCCTGGTCCTTCACTCCCAAAACTGTGACCCTCAATGGCCTCATTTACTTTGTTAGGTGAGGGATCTCTTACTGTATATTTTGTTACTATGGTAACAATTTAGACAGGCTAGCCTTTAGTTGAATTATTTTACTCACAAATGGCTTTTGTTTTGTTTTTTTTAAAAGTGTAAATAAACAGCTCTATGTATTTTTAAAGATTATTATAAAATGGCAACTTGCTCTTCTGTAACTTTAACTAATTTGCTTTTTGAACATCTCATCACTAGTATGAATAAAATCGTTAATCGTGATGAATCGATTATTGAAGTAATTGTCAACTAATTTAGTCGTCGATTAATCATTAACCATAGTATTTAGACTAAAACATGTCATTTACTGAAAGAACAATGCAGTCAGAGCAATTAAGTCAAAACTGTACAACAAATGTTTTTAGCATTTAAAACACAAAAAAAACTTTACCTGTAAATCTGTTGACAAGTGGCAGTTTTAGCAACACCTGTTTCAAATTCTGTAAAAAATATCCTTCAACCTTTTGCTTTTTTAATTCCATAATTGTCAACAGATCATCCTTACATTGTATTGATGTTAACACAGTATGCTAGTGCATTTTAAGGCAACAGAATGTTTATTGTTTTAAAAATGAAGAAAACTACCTTAATGTACTAATTTGTTAGTTAGACCATACTAATGATTGAGTTATTGTCAAAGTTTAAAGAATGTGACATTCTAACAGAAAAAGACCTCAAAATTCCCTCTTAATATTTCCACGCAATTTGGGTGGTGACGTGTTTTCGTTCAGAATGGCTGAATATTAATAACTAGAAGGATTTAATAGTCATCAGAGCTTCTGATATAGATGACGCAGCGGGTATTTGGCCAGTAACAGCCTGTGTCTATTTGCAGGGATGACTCGGCGGAGGTTGATGTTTACAGTCCACAAAAGAACGAGTGGGACAAAATTAGCCCCATGAACCAGGTTTGTATTTCACATCAGATGCTTGTGTGCTGCCCTGCTTTAATAATAGTCTTCTGTGACCTCCAGTGTTGTACAGTGAACAGGTTGGACACATAGAACAGGACAAGATCAATAAAAACAAGCAGGAATTGATGCTCCCAGTGCTGCAGTTTGTCTCCAATGGATTTATTGTCCAAACACAGCAGAAGTTGTAGAAATACTGAAGAAAAGGAAACTTTCCAACACATCTGTACACAAAAATAAAGATGCCTGAATTTTTCAGGTCCACGTCGGAGGCAGCGTGGCAGTCCTGGGCGGTAAGCTGTTCGTATCCGGCGGTTACGACAACACGTTCGAGCTGTCGGACGTCGTGGAGGCGTACGACCCGACGAACCGCTCCTGGACGGCGGCCGGACGGCTCCCCCAGCGGACCTTCTGGCACGGCAGCGTCAGCATCTTCCGCCAGTTCATGCCGCTGGTGGCCAGCTCGTTTGAACCCACCGACACACCCGAGTCCAACGCCATACACCTCCACCGGCACCAGCGCCACCAAGCGCTCCACAACCTCAACAACAATCTGAACCAGAACCAGGATGTAAACCCAGCGCATTGACGCGGGTCATACATGCTCGCCGTGTTCTCTCTTTGCAAAAATACTAAATCTTACCAAGTATGTTGAGTTTAGTTTCTAGTGCAAATATAATAAAACAAAACTAACTTACAAGTAATCTTTCAGCAAGATATGACTTTTAAGTTAATAATTTCTTAATATTGATGAGAGAAATAATCTGCTGGTGGAACTAGTATGTTTTCATCCATATTAAAGAATTGCTGACTTGGCTCTTATTCAAATTAAAATATACTTTAATAATCCCAAAGGGAAATAAATGTTGTAACTCGTATGAATTCAAAATTCTTTATATCTTGCTGAAAAGTTACTTCCAAGTTAGTTTAGTCTAATTTTAAGTATACTAAGGTATTTGCACTGAAAACGAAACTAAAAAGATGTTTCGTAAGATTTTGCTTTTGCGGTGTTCTGTTTACCTCATTGCTGCAAGGATTGGTGGGAAATCTCGATTGGGAATGATGTAATTGTTTGGTGTTGATGAGATATGATATGCTGCTGCTCAATATCTATGTTATGGGTTATAGATTTATTTGCTTTAAAGTAGATTTTGAACCCTGCTACATCTTGGCTCTGAGAGAATGAAGGGATATGAACTGCAACAGCAGAAGGATGGCGGTGAAAACAGTTAAAAGCACTTTAACTTTTAACAATCATATTATATTCACAATAAGCTCCAAATAATTTTGAATATTTTTGTTGTGAAAGTGCTGAAATAATCTGTCATTTAGACCATGGTGTGTATACCATCACACTCTGAGGTACCTGGATTTTTCTTTCCTTTGTTGTTGACTCTAATGCATGAGAGAAGACTGCATATAGTTTAAACACATTATAATCCATATTATTTCCCTTTCTTGGTTTTTTTTTATTTACATATGGTCATAACAGTGTGCATCTGCTAGGGAAATAGATTGAGATTTACAGCTTTAGTGTCATTTGATGTACAGAAAAGGTTTGAAATGATTGGACAACATCCAACCTAGATTTAGTTTTACGTATTGTTCAAAACTACTTCATTTCTGTTTATGCATATGGGGTTTCTGGAGATTTTCAGCCCTCTTGTGGACTTTCCTGGTCACTACATGGGGTTACAGACAGAATTAGTTTGTGCTATCTAATATTTTTTACTCTTTTCTGTATATTGATAGATAATTTTGAGTTTTAGATAACAAGATAGCTGTTTGTATGCCTTGATGAAAGGGTGAAACACTAGTAAACATTCACAGATTGGACTTTTTATTTTTTTTTTATTTTTTTTATTTTTTTACTTTGACGTGCAGGTACGTTTTCTCTGCAGTTGCCAAGCATTCAAGATCACAGCTGCATAGAGTCACATGAAAGCAATGCCCTATGTGATATTTAGTGGGGTTTTTTAACTGATGCTGATGTCTTCGGTGTGAAGCAGAAGTTTGGGCAAATGAGATTATAGCAACAAGACATAGAAGTGAGGAAAAGGTTTGCAAGTTTCCTGTTAAGTCTGATTGTAGTTTTTACCTCAACAGAAAATGAAGGACTTGCAAGAATTTCTCCATTGATGCATCTCTAAGCATTAATCAGATTTTATTAAAATCCAAATGTACTGAAAGAAGTTGGAGCTTTCAATTTTGACGCATAAGAAAAATGTATTTTTTTCCCCCCAGTAAAAATATTTTACTGGGAAGACTTGTGCATCACGATGTACAAATCTAGCCTGTCCTGGTCATCTCATGCTCCAAAACATCCATGTGTATTTTAGGATTCTTTGTTTTTTCTTTTACATTCAGATGCATTACCATTTACAGTTCAAAAGCTTTAACTCATGTTGTTAGAAAGATCTGGGGACTTTGCGGGTGGGGGGGGGGTTTATTGTGGTTGACGCAGGATTTTGAGAAGGATTGCTGCTGATTCAGTTTGTTTTAAATGCAGTTCTAAATTAGCAGTATATTTCTACATGCAAGTTAAAGTTAGGTCAGAAATTTGCTGTTAAATGTTTACATTCCCTAACTTCTCTTAAGTTTCACAACAGACTTGCATTTCTTCTGTTTAGTGTGAGAAATGAAGATTTGAGTTATGGTCTGAAGGACTCCAGCTTGCAGTGTTTACTTTTTATTTAGTTGGTCTGAATCTAGTTTCTTGGTTGCACATCAATCTTTCAATGCTCCAGTTGAATTGTGCACGAAGAACTTTCCTTAACCAAATATATATATTTATAATTATCTGGTTTCTGTGCTTATTTATGCATCTAGCTGTGTTGTGCTGGCTTGTAATGTGTTTCCAGCAACGTTGACTGGAAGTGCAAAAGAATCTCAGCTTGAAAAAATGTTTTTGCTTTAAAATATGTAGTTTTTGAAGTGTTTTAGTGTTGTAAAAGCAGTTTCTTAGTTCTCATACAGTTTTGTGAAGTTGAACCAGTGTTGTAAATACAGCATATTTAAATATATATTTATTGTGTCTGTGTTACTTGTAAAATTCTAATTTACATTAAGATATGCGTTCTGTTCTGTAAAAACCTCTTGGGTTTTAACGGACCAGTTGGGTTTATACTGAGAATTTCTCACATGTAGATTATTTACTCTTTGGGTGGCCTACTAAGGAAGTTCGTTGTGTATTTTTAAGGGGCATCAGAGTAAAGGGAGCTGAACACAAACGCACACCACACTTTTAATTTTATTTTGAAAAAAAAAAGACACCATAAATCATCTTCCTTCCTTGTCACAATTGTTTCACTTTGCATTGATATCACACAAAAACATTGAAATTGAATCAATACAATTAAAGGAGTTGTATGTATTTTCCTTTAGATGGAAAACACTTATTCATAAGCAAAAAACATTTTGAAGACTTGATCGAATAGTTAAATACTAAAACCGAGTTAGTAAGAGAAAAACCACCTGCCTTGCTGTTATGATGATCTCTGGGGTTTTATTATTAGAAAAGTCATTTTCACACAAGTCCATGATACATTTAAACTATATTATTATTTTCTTTTATGTGGAATTTAATTGTTTTAATGTAAATAACACTTAAAAAAAACATGTCTGCTCAACGGTACATCCATGATGATTTACATCCATTGTAACTGAAGTCATGATGCTTAAGCCTGAAAATATTGTAGGCTTTGCCAACAACCTGGTTATGCATGCAGTTCTTTGATTTTACTGAACAAATTCTGGTTTAAGGCTCATATCCCCTTTCATTATATTTTACATGGCATTTAAACCTTTACAACACTCAGTCTGGCTGAGTATGTTAGCAGAGCTATTCCTCCATGTCCACTGTGGACTCAAACGTGTCGCTGACTAGCTGAGTTTGGTGAAGCTCAGTGAAAGTCTCCCCCGTCTCACTGCGCTCCCTCTCCTCATTAGACGTCGCCTCCTCCATCACGGCATCCTGAGAGTTTCCGACGCCTGGAGACGAGTCATCGTTGGCGGCTTGCTGGCTGGCGGCCGGCTCTGGGCTGCACTTGGCGACCTGAGCCTTGGTAGATTGAGTGGCTTCACTCTCATCAGGATTTTCGTCGATTTCCTGCACGATGAGGTTTCTCAGCTTCCTCTGCCTGGGATTGTAGTTCTCTGTGCGTTTGTGGATCTGAACGTGTCGTCGTAGATGTGCCTGCAGGATGGGAGATGTTGAACAATTGGTTCAGGTGAACTTTACTGTGTTGAAAAACCAGGCCAGAAGTAAGGTGTTACTTTATCTGGAGGTAAAGGAGTGTTTTCTGGCTTCAGAGCCTGCCAGGCATTTCCAATTTTGATTTTTTTCTCTCAAATCTTTATTTAGACCCTCATCAAGTATTTAAAATCCACATTCAGTGTGAAGTTTTGCTTTTTACAGCGCAGAGAAGAGATCTTGATAAATCTTTTGCTAAAGTTAGATATCTGATCAGTAAATAATAATCTGAATGTTTACAAGTAGTTGACTACAGGTTAATAATTCATTCTATTAATGACTATCATTCGATTTTCAGGTTTGTTATTTTGAGAAGAAATTAATTTTTTGAGTGTAGATCTCATTTTAATTCTGTTAAAATTTTCTGTTAAAATATCAGACTTTTTCAGACTCAAATTTGCAGTCATTCATATTCATTGTAAGGAAAGAAGGAAGGAAGGAAAGAAGAAGGAAAGAAAGAACACAAGGAAGGGAGGAAAAAATAAACAAGAAAGGAAAAAAAGAAGAAGGAAAAATAAATCATTTGATGTTGCTAATGGAAGAAAATCTGGAAATAAAACTTTTTCCACATTTAGTGCAGGCTGTAGGAACTCTGTAAAGTTATTGAATGCTACGTTAGTTTTATATGTTCTGTTAATCTATTTCTCTCCTCCACAGCTCACCACTGTAGTTTTCTTTACTTTTAAATGTAAACCTCCCATCTGTGTTATTATGTCCACCGAACAGCCGTGTCTCTCTGAGTTTAATCTACAAGCCGACCTGTCGGGTGAACTTGTAGCCGCAGTCGGTGCATTCAAACTTCCTCATGCCTCTGTGGCGCTGCAGGTGAACACGTAGCTGCTCCTGCGCTGAAATAGAGTGAGAGGAAAGAAAGAACAACAGTTGCCACTTTTTTTAATGATACTCATTTCCTGAATAAGATTGATGAGGATGTGTGCTCTACCTTTGAATGTTTTGTTACACATGTAACAGCAGTGCGGCCGCCCCTCCTCATGCTTGCTGGCCTTGTGGCGGAGCAAAGCGCCTTTCTCGGTGAAGCGCCAATCGCAGATGTCACAGCCGTAGGGTCGCTCGCCGGTGTGTGTACGGTGGTGCTTATCCAGACTCGCTGGTGTTAAAACACACACATTATCACTCAGGCTTTATTTATGAAGGAATTTGCCAGTTTCACCATGTCTAAATTCATCTAAAGCAGGGGTCCCCAAACTTTTTCCTGCGAGGGCCACATAAGTGTTCCCTTTTGTGGTTGGGGGCCGGTCTGTCGAGGGGGGGGGGGGGGGGCAGGATTACGGTCGACGACATATTCGCGTTTTTAGATCGGTTTTTACCCACAATGCAAATGGAAAAAACCGTCAGCGAAACGGTGACTGGGACTAGTATATATTCCATTGAGGAAAAGTAAGTTTCACATTTGCTCAAAAGCCCCCTGGTGGTTGAAGAAAAATCCCCATATAAACCGGAAAAGACAATATATGAAAAAAAAACACTGAATGCTCTCTGGTATGAGGAGGCGGGCCGGATCCGGTATTGTTCAGGGGGCCGGACCAAATGAGGTGGTGGGCCGGATCCGGCCCGTGGGCCGTAGTTTGGGGACCCCTGATCTAAAGCTTTTGTTTTATGGAGCAACTGGAAGCCTTCCTTGTCATCATCCTAATCTTTAACTCCCTCCAAAGATTGTATCAGAGATTCACAAGTAGAACTCTGTAGATGTATCATATCTCTGAGCTAATTTCTAACTTTAAAGACAGGAAGAACAACTGCTTAGTCGTTCCTGTCACTTCTCACTGCATCTGTAGCTTTCAGTAAAGATGGCGGCTGTGCAGCCCTGACCTTGCGTCCTGAAAGTTTTCCCACAAAGGTGACACTGGTAAGGTCTCTCGCCGCTGTGCACACGGAGATGCATGTTGAGGTTGTTCTTCTGGGAGAAGGCGTGGCCACATATGTTACACACAAAGGGACGCTCGTTCCTGTGAAGCAGATCAAGGACGACGATGAACGGAGAAGTTTTGGTCTCTGGTAAAAAATGGGTGGCTGGTAAAAGCTGCAGCGTTTCTACCTGTGAATGGCTTTGATGTGCATCTGCAGGCCATTTCGACTGGAAGCTCGATGGCCGCACTCCTCACACACAAATGGCTTTTCACCTCGATGCTTGGCCGCTTCGTGGACGCGCAGCTCAGTCCGAGTTAGGAAGGTTTTGGGGCACTGTGGACACTAAACACATCGTTTTATGCTGTTAGTGTGCTGCTTTTATTCCCTGGACAATTTTGTAGACAACATGCAAATGATGGTATGATTAAGAAAAGAGTTCTTAGGAAAGCTTGTAACTGCTGTTGTTTAGTTATTTACTTTTAAAGCAAAGTTGTATAGTTTGGATCACAGAACCTTCATCACTCCATTCCAAGTACTCAGTTTTACCGTTCTAATCAAATACAAAGTTTACCAGTTTACTGGTTTAAGGTGACGTATCACAAGGTCTATACTCACTGCATGTGGTTTGGGATGTCCATGGACCTTCATCAGGTGCATCGTCAAGTTCTTCTTGTACATGAACTGTTCGTTACATGTTGAACACTTAAAAAAAA